GTGTGTGTGTGTGTGTGTGTGTGTGTGTGTGTGTGTGTGTGTGTGTGGATAGATGGATCCTAAGGTCTAACAACCTTTGGTGGCAGTCAGTGAAATCACGTATATCTCTGTGACATCACTTAATCTGATTGGGGGGGTTACTGCACGTGCTCGGTGAACGACTCTTTGCCTGACAAGGTTTTTGTTGTTCTATCTTTACCAAGGCGTGTCATCACACACACGGATACAAACACACACATGCATAAAACGTAATGACGGCACAACCCCCTTACATGCATGTGTGCTCTGCCACTCGCTTAACCCATAACACAACGGACACAATGACAACACACAAACAATTAAGCTAGCACACAAGTACTCAAATACAGCAGAGAAAGTCATTATGGTTTTCATCAATAGAAATCTGTTTTCTATTGATCCGGAACAATATCATTAACATATATTTCACATCTTTTCCATTCTGGAGGGTTGCAGATTATGAAACTGTCGAACGTTTCAGAAGAATATCAAAAATCCATAGTGCAAATTTTCTAAATCAGTAATCTTAGCTGCTCTTCACTTCTTTGTGTTGTAGCGACTATTTTTCTGTCTTTCAAAACAGAATTGCAAGGTGTTGTTTTACCGCGTTGTTATTGCCTGCAAATGGCTTGTAACAGTTGGGAGAGTGGTGTCCTTCCCAATATTGAAGGACTGGAGTCAGGAACGGGACAAAAAAATCTTGTTCAGGGCATTGTTTGTTCTGTTTGTTTCTGTCCTCTTCTCATCTCCGTCTCTACCTTAAAACATATCTTAATCTTGCCTGCCAACTTAAGACACTAACAGGATTTTTTTCTAAATGGAGCCAGTTTAAACTCAGCAGATTTTCATTCATTATTATTATCTCATCACTTTGTGTTCACGTATGTTGCTGTAGTTACAGCACAGTGCTTCTTGGTAAAAAATATTTGCGGTAGTAGTCAGCAGAGGTGTTGCGCTAATAGCAGCTCTTATTTCCAGAATCCAATTCCTGTGTTGTTGCTGTACATTCTGTTTAATGTTTTGTGGCTGCATCTTGATTGGCAGACAGAGTTTGATTCACAGCCTCAGTACCAGCCTTCTGTTGATACTGAGACATCATCACCCTTGGGTGTTGTCTGTAGCGTTTCTGCTAATCGCCCATTAGACTGATAGAGAACAAGACTTGGCTACAGAGCTGCCTCGCAGTGAAAAATAAATGTCACAGAAAACTATGGGTAGAAGTGGTACAAAAATGCTTGTTTTTACATAGGCACAAGTCTTTTCCCTGTAAAAATTCAGAGCAAAAGTGTGAAAAAATAAACCCCCCAACTCACATTTTAGAATTGAATCAACAAATACTTTATCTTTTACAGATATTTTCTGCAGTCTGGTACTGTAGGAGGGGAGTGCAGTTCGTGAACAGCCTTGAAAAGTATCAATTAATGTCTTTAACTGACTGTAATAGCTTGGATATCTTCAGCGAAACCTCCCACATCTTGTCTGCTCTTGCAGTTCCAAGTTCCTTCTCCTAGACCCCCCTAAAAGGTTGTGAATATGTATTATTCATGTCTTGTTGTAGAAGCCAACTAGAAGTAAACTGGCAGATTCCAGAGCCATGAAGAAGAAGATGAGTAATTGCATTTTATTTGGCTCTCATTGTTCTTATGTGCACTAATTACACAAACCATTGAATCTACCATTGTGTGAGATTAAATAACGAATGTTTCACAATTTGTCGCTTTGGCATCAATTTCTAATTATGTTTACTTGTTTGGATTTGATGACAATCGGACATCTAAATTAAATTGATCTTCTCTTCCTTCTTTGTGTTTCAGGTTCCATCTGAAAGTGTGTGAGTGGCAGACTGTGTGTGCATCTCTGTACATGCCTGTGTGCGCGTACGTGTGTCACAATGAAGCACCAGTCTATCTCTCGATGGCTGAGCCAGCTGGGACTGCCACAATACTGCTCAGCGCTGGAGCAGGAATATGATGGTGTCGAGGTAATACATGAACACACGCCAACAAAACCCACAAAACCTAAAGAGACATTTACAGAGGTAGTTATTCATTATAACTATTTAGTAAATAATGGCTGAAAGCAGGCTGGCCTGTTTCTCTGGTTTTGAATTCAGAATCTGATTCATCTTTATTAGCCATGTATGTGTGCAAATAGAATGAATTTGACTGGTTTTTGCATTGCTCTCAATGTTTTTGCACAAAAAAGACATAACAGCGAAGATCAAGGACAGCAAAGCTGGACAAATAGAGGTAAGGAATAGACGGGAGTCTTAATACATTTCAATGCACCCAACCACCAGCCCAGACCTCATCCCTGAAAAGGTTTGCAATGGTGCACTTCCACCGTTGCTTCTTAGACACATTGTGTCTAAGAAGTGTTTTCTTGTCAGGAAAATGTCAGGATTGGTTGTTTTAGGTGTTTTACCAGAAACAAAAACAGTTCTGTCCTTTTTCTGACAGTCTCCAACTGTTTGTTACACAACTACAGAATAACCAGTTGTTAATTATCGATCCTCACACATAACTACTTGAACAAGTCATTGTAGATCTAAAATCAAGCACAATTCAGAATTGGCCTGAACCATGTTTCATAATCTTTTTTTTGGAAACCGATTTTGCTGGGTGAAATATGATGTTTCCAGAACAGCTGCCGTGTTTTCCGATCAGGAAACCTTAAAAACCCAAACTCATCACAATGATTGTTCACGGTGCATTTATAATGATTCAAGTAGGGGTCAAGGGAGCACCAATAGAAACATACTTTTTTGCAAAATTGTTGTAGGATACCACTTGTGTAGAGGCAAAAGAGGCAAACGATTAGTCCCTACCGGAGTCACAGCTGTTTACAATGACTTAATTACGCAATTTTAAGAAACCACCGACTGATCTGGTAAAGAGCAGATCTACATTTTTACAAGCTGCCGCAGTAAGACTTGAGGCACAGCAGGAAGAATGAGGAAACCGTGAGATTCGGACATTGCCTAACGATACGTGTGCAGTGAGCATTAGCTTGCTCATACATTGCTAACATTTGTTTGCTAACAGCTAACTTGTTGATCATCATTTTAGTTATCAACTGCATCCCAGGGTCTTTCTATATCTGTCTCTATTTTGGCTGTTAATCAATTGTAATGCTAGTTTTCCTATCACCCTGTAGAAACTTGCAACACCATTTCATGCAGGATACATCATTCCAATAAAACATGTTTTTTCTCTCGGCTATGTGTGTGAGAAGGAAGCAGAGAGGGGTGATACATCTTTATTTACAAAACAATGTGGTTATTAGAATTGGAATTATTTTGGTTATCTTGTGTCAATTATTTATTTGTTGCCTCAAATTAATGATGTTACATAAAATGGTTTGTGTTGTTTCAGGCTCCAAAAGTAGTGATATTATATGCATTTTGTTAGCATTTCAGCTCTTGGTTGCATATTGTGGCGCTGATAGTTTTCTCGGAGCTACTTTTTAACAAACAAATGGCTCTTATTTGAGATTCAGCACATAAAGCTGTCACTATCTGACTGTAACCATGTCTGTTTAAAGGGGGGGTTCAGTAAATGTTGTATAGGAATACCAACTGTTGTTGTTAAGAGTGTTTCCCACAGCAGCTTAATACAGCAGCCTAATAAAACTTCATCACAGGCCTATTAGACTGGATGCACAGTGATGTGGGGGCTGTTTTAACATCCAACCATTAGCCAACTTCAATCTGAACATTACACAGCCATTGGCTAGGAGATTAGATTGATTTGTCAATAAGACATGAATTATGCCATTACCTCCTGCTAATGTATACCCAGAATGCATTGGTGTAATTTGTGAAGGCATAATGGGAAAAGCTTAAGAAGGTGAAAGGGGCAAGGAGGGAGATACAGAGAAAACAAGGGGAGACAAGGACAACAAAGTGTTGTTTTAGTCTTGTTGAACCATAATGGAGTTTAGATTGAAGCTTCTGTGTGAAATATTCTCTCAAAGTTAGATGACTTTCCGAGCTTAAATCTACTAATTCAATCAGTAAATGTCACTGTGCACCGAGAGAAATTAGTTTAGTTGAAAGGAAAGTCTCTATAACTCATCCAAGGGCATAGGTTTGCATATGGACGGTAGGGACATGTCCCTGCCAACATTTTGGGAAGACAGAATTGTCCCTGCCAATAGACTGACAGCCATCAACTAGACAGCTGTCTGGTGAGGTGAGGGGACCGGAGAAGGCAGAGAGTGTGGCGCACTGCGGCGTCTCCATTGCGCTCCGTGCCCCTGACAGCACATCCACGGTCACTGCAACGATTCTACACACAAAAACGACGTGAAAACTAAAATCGTACTAGGTGGATGCATTATGTGGCATTATTGATATTTTACTTGGCAGGATTTGCATCCTCCTGTTATTTCAGCTAAGATTAATGTTGCATGTAGAGAGAGGTTTACAAATACATTTTATTTGTTATTGAGGTGAATAGGTGCCACGTTGCACATTTAAAAAGGTTAAAGAGACAAAAGAGAAGGGAAGAGTAAATCACGCCTTCATGTTTGTTGACTCAGCAGAGATGACATTAAATGAGAAAAGTTGATCTACAGGAGAATACATATTTGAAAGCGATACCGAAATGACTTGGAGCCTATTGCATTATGTTCCATTATATTTTGAATTGTCACCCGGCACCTGAATTCAGTGTTTTTCTTAACATAAATAAAGACTTATCCACCATAAATTGATGCGGAAAAATTCACCAGTTAATGTTAATGATGCCCCTTGAACCCGTCTACAATATATGCATCAAGCTGATGACTGGAGCTACTGGTGCTTCTCTAACTCTCAACCGTCTCTATGCAGAGTAATTGCAATTAGAGGCAGCATAAGGACTAAGATTCATACTCTAACCCCCCGCTTGACCATCGACCATGCATATTGAGCTCGGCTCAGCATCGCTAACCGATCTCAAAATGATATAACAATAATATCCAGCTCAGTGCTTCCTAGACATCCAGGCTGATAGCTATCACAACAAACCGGTAAAACCAAACTCAATGTTTGGTCAATGACAGTGTGAACAAAGACGATCATATTAAATCGGTATTAACAACAAGAACAATGACTTAAAAGAGCCTTTGAAAGTTCTGCAGAACCAAATTTACAGGCCGATTGATTTTAAGATCAGAAATGTTAATGTTGAGGTCTTTATTGGCCAGTGCTGTCTGAATCACACCGCTCTGCCGATTCGCTCACAAGCACCGTTATCGTTGCAACAACATTCACGAGGGCAAAGCCAACATTCACAGCTGCTATACCAACTCTCTATGAGGACTGGTATGAGAGATCATGTTGTTGTTCTGGAGAAGAAAGAAAAAAGAAAACCTGTCAAGTTGCTGTTGCAAGAGAGGGAGACGAGAACGACAGAGGGAGGGGTAGATGGATTCTGAGATAGATTAGGCTTGTGATATGCTAGCCATGTCTCACGCACTAACACACACACACACACACACACTGTCAGCATGGTGTGTGTGTTACTCGTGTTAAAATCAGCAGAACTAATGTAGTGTCTTCTTCTTTAGGCTACTAACATGTAATTCCTGAGCTGTCTCGGCACGTTGACCGCATTGACCGGCTGTGTGAGTGGGTGACTTTGAGCGTGTTTGTGGGCATGTGCGTGTGTGCTACTGGCTACCTTTGTATGCAGGTATGTGCCCATGGTCGTGGATGCGTGTAAAACCTCTAACTTACCGTTTGTGACTAAGAGTGACTGTGCACTGTTTCTGTGAGAGCTTGCCGTGTGTGTGTGTGTGTGTGTGTGTGTGTGTGTGTGTGTGTGTGTGTGTTTATATTCATGGGTTTGCCCTGTGTAGTCTAAATAGAGCTATTGTTTGTGATGAGCTCAGAGACTGGTCATATTGTTGAGAAACCAAAACAACAAGGGTTTGAGCTGGGAGAGTCCTGTCGTGTGTGTGCGTGCGTGTGTGCGTGTGTGCGTGTGTGTGTGTGTGTGTGTGTTTTCGTGTAGTTCCATTACTGTACAAGGTTGAGTTCTGGTTCAAAGACTTTGTGGCTATTTGAGGGGTCGTTTGCATTAATACCATAGTGAGGGTTGAAGTGAGGTGGGGTGTGTGTGTGTTTAAGACAATGTTATAATGACAGGAGCGGGATGAGGGGAGGAGATGACACACTTTTGGAAGACAGGAGGTCACCGGTGGTCTCAGCAATTTTTCTTTTGCTCCTCTGGAGCCACCAACCTGTCTAGACAAACTGTGTGTTACTTATCTTCTATCAAGCACAACAGTGGTATCTTCCCTGTATGGAACTCAAAGTCAGTTGTTAGTGTTTATGTTCTGAATGTTACCCCATCATTTCTACCACATGAATCTATTTTCATATTCGCTGTGTGTTAAAGGTTCAACATCACTGCTCGTTTGTGATTGGCTGGCTAGTGTCTTTTAAGTGGTGTATTGAGACACCTCACACATAGCCGTAGTAAACAGTTTAACCTCTAACACAGGAGTGTCAAACATGCGGCCCGAGGGCCAGCCCACCAACGAGTCCAATTTGGCCCACTGGAAGACTTTGCCAAGTAGGAAAATTGCAGAGAAGTCATTAATTCATTTTTTTCAAATGCCATTCCTATTTGTCCCCTGGGGGTTGTGCTGTCCTACTAAGAGTAGCAGGCCCTATGCTGGATATACAGCTATTATAGATCCCACGTGCTTACATACAGGCCACGTGACACAGCACTGTCAAGCCTAGGCTTGTTTTCATGCAGAAGCTGCCGGTAGGAAATGTCTTTGTCAAAAAGGGGAGAAGTGGAAACAGTGTTGAGTTTTCCGAGTAAATATGGACCAGTTCCTATTGCTCCACAGAGGTAAACGGGTTCACTGCACCTTTCAGTGCTCAAGGAGTATAATATTCAATGCCACTTTCAGACTCACCATGACGAGAAATACAAGTGAGAACAGACATGAATGAATTGAAGGAAAAAGCAGTCTGTTTTTAGTCCTGCTCTAACACCTGAGTATTGCGTTTCCTGTCAAAAATGAAACCTCTTCTTGACACGTGTCAATTTCCGTACGTAACAAGTGGAAATTGACACGTGTTGCTGGACATTCATACATACAGTCTTTTCAAAATAAACTTCAGTCTCTGATAAAAACAGCTGGGTCAGGCTAAGGCAACAAAACTACTTCGTCATCAGTAAAACAATTATTAGATTCAATGTTAGAAGTACACCGCAATTATCAGAATAAAACGAACATTTAGGCTCCCTCATGTGGCTCAAAGGTGTACTGCACATAAACATGTTAAATAAATTCAGCAAATTGATGTGGTGAGCTAAATAAAACCTCCTGTGACCCTCCTGTGGGTCTCGACCCAGGCTTTGAGAATGACTCTAGAGTACCGTCACTTTATGTTAACTGTTAAGTTTCTGTTTTTGTGTTTTTTCAGGACCTGCTCCACCTCTCAGAGTACGACCTCTTGGAGCTCGGAGTCCACAACCACCTCCACCGCCTGCACCTTCTCACTTCTCTGCGCCTCCTCCAGGAGCGAGAGAGGAGGAGAGGTAGTCACACACACACACACACACACACACACATATAGTTGACCAAACAGTATCTTTCCTTATCTGTTCCATCATGTTGTTGATTCTGGCTCCGTGTTTAAGTCTTCAGGGAGACTCAAAGTCTTTCTGTTCACACAGCCTTAGTACATAGGGCCCCTCTCTGCCAGGTGAGCTACAGGGATTTTCTCTTTGTATCGCCCATTTCTAAACTACACTGAAAGTTATTTTCAACCAAACAAAATCCAGCAAGTCTCTATGGTAAAGCGGGCACAGCACAACTAATGCCACTGAATAGAAAAAAATTAATAAATCAATTAATGCAATAATATATATATATATATATATATATATATATATATATATATATATATATATATGCTATATAAACCATGATTTAGGGCAGCAGTTGGATTAGTAAACATTACATGTAATTGCAACAACTGCTATTAGTTTTAACGGATTAAAATGCAGTGTGACCAGCTAGATGGAATGCAGCGAGGGTCACCCATAGTGCGCGACGAAACGGGTTGAGAGCAGCTTTGCCAAGGTCCGTTCTTGCACACTTGCCGAAATCCCGAGACAGGAAACTTTGGGGATCGACTGCGACTCAAGTCGTTCACCTTTTGAAGGGGTTAGAGAGGTCCGCAGCATTCCATCTAAGGGAGCCTGGTAGGTCCAGCTCATTAGATACTTTTTTTTCACTCCTATTTATAAACTTTATCATCTGAGCTGATGACATCATGATGCCACAGAAAAGACCGATCAAGAAACGGTGGCATCATCTGAGGGATCACAGAACATAAGGTGAGGGGAGGAGCTTAATTTAACATCTGAACTGTGACATCATAACTGTGAAGAAAAAAAGTTTCTAAAAGGACTTTGGACTTTGTTGCCTTTACTCAAGCACAGCCGAAGGTAGACAGGGAAAGGGGAGAGAGAGGGGACAACAGGCAGCAAAGGTCCTGTCTTTTGTCTTCTCTCTGGGTACACAGGGAGAGAGACGGAGACAGATAGCATTAGTGTCATGTAAAGACATGCTTATGCCTGGGGGGTCCGGTGGTGGGGAGGGGGATAGTCTGGTGGAGGTCAATGCTTTGTCGCACACACAGACACACAGAACACTTCCAAAGCTGTCAGTAAATAAGGAGAAGAGTGCTGAGGCCTGCAGTCCCGCTGGGTTTAATCACTTCTACAAGTGTGTGTGTGGACGCATGGAGATGTGTGTCGGTCTGTGCGGGACTGCCTGCTTTGTTTGCCCAGTTTCCCATGCATTATACTGTGAAATCTAACTGTTGTCTTGGTGACTGAGTCTGAGTCCTGCACAAGTCCAGTTTATACCAAGCGGAGAAATCATTTTAGTGAATCTCCTGAAGCGAATATGTAGCATTTGACTTGTTGACTCCTGCAGCTGTTCTCGCATCATATTACAGGCATAAATATACCAGGAACAAAATCAAAAGAGGTGTGTTTGCAAGGGCAAATATGCCGTTTGCGACCAAAACAACGCATCACATTTGCCTCAATCCGCAGTGTGGAGTTTGCTAGCCCATCTGGAATGGAGTGTTTTCTTAAAAAAAAAATGTGTTGCTTGTCATTTCCTTCGTAGGACTATAAGAGTGTTAAGAGGCAATAACAGGGCTGGAAGTCTCTGACATCAGAAACGAAGAGATGAAATGGTGGAAGAAACAGTTTGAAGAATGGCTTCTATAAACGTGCAACATGTAAGAGAGATGCAAAGCCTGTAGACTGTGAAATAAACACTATGGCATGTTTTACTGTTGTGGTTGATTTACTAAAGAAACGGATCATGGCGACCTAAACCTAAAACCTATCTCGTATATAAACCAGTTCCAGCATTCTGCCAGGCTCCAGAAGAACAGAAGCCAAAGGTGTTCTGATGCGATATACTTTCAAACAAGCCATAATTGTATATTTAATTAAACGGCCTGTATGAACTTATAATAAGAAATAATGTATGAATAGAATGGGCTTGAAGGGAAAGTGTCATGTTTTACTTTATATAAACTGGCATTTCATCTACAAGTCTTTCTTCTTTTTAAAAAATGTTCTATTACTTTATATTTTTTTATTCTTGAAAGTGAGTTTGAGTTTGTGATCTTAGAGTCGAGGTTTAGCTCATCTGAGTACTGATGGCTCGCTTTCCTTGTGTGGTGTCTCGATGTCTGTGGACTTTAGATGTAAAAAAAAAAAAGACAATAAAATGAATACTTATATTTCAAAACGCATACTGTTTGTGGTGCTAGATGAGTCAGGGCATCACAAGTCATTAGGATATGTCCTCTGACAACCGTTAATGTATGTACTAAACTTCCAGACGGCCCATCTGATAGTTGTCAAGCTGTTGAAGTCTGTATATTTAACAAAAATACCTTGCAATGGAGTGACATTCAAAGAGTCGCATAGTTTTGCAGCTAAGACGTTGAGACATAAAGAGAAGAAGGCGTGATGAATTACCTTGAGCATTGAAAGTAAAAAAAAACAGAAAAGAAATGAGAAATCACATTGATCTGTGAGTGACAAGTACAGTAAGCGATGTCCACCAAAGACATAAAATACATGAGATGAGGACTTGTACAGAAAAGCGTACATGGTCACATTCCTGAGATCTCTGTTGGACCGCTAGTGTCGCCCCAACCTGCAGGTTGAGCTCCGTCGCTGAGGTGAAACAGCCTCTAGTTGAAATCACTTAGTCACCAACTACTGTGGTATTATGTCTGCCTGGCAGCCTGCCACCCCTATCATTACCACAAAGGCCAGATTTGTTCAGCTAATGGTCTCCTTCACACACACACACACACACACACACACACACACACACACACACACACACACACACACACACATGCAGCATCCTCCAAAAATGTCAACTCAACATTTGACCCAGATAAGAGCATTCCAGTGAGAGCACCTTCAAAATAAAACACGTGCATACGCACACACAGCGTCCAGGCACATATTAGTTTCATCATATTTATGTTCGTTGGCTACAGTATGTGATTATGTGGCTAGAATACGAATCCATGTGTGTGTGTGTTTGTGCCAGGTACTTTCCTTGTTGGCAGGACTTAAAATGCAGCAGAGAAGAAGAGATGATCCAATTAGAACAATTAGACGGTAAAATGGGAGGCATCAGTAAAACACACACGCGCACTTTCATATTTCACATATTTGAGGCCTTTTAGTTTCAGGTTACAGTGTGTTTAGTTACAGTTGTTGCTGTAGGGCTGAAGCTGTTCTGTGGATACTAATTAACTCCATAGCTGTGTTCTTGTTTGTGATTCTATGTTGACAATAGGGCAAGAATTTCAGGTTATTACCACTTTTATTAGCATTGATGCTAAGCATTGAAGCATGATTAAAATGAAAAAAAGGAAATTCTTTAATCTCGCCAGAGGCGCACATAGACAGATGGAACCAATCATGTTTAATATCACTTGAGTATATTAATGGGTGATTCTTACCAGCACTGTCATTTACAACCGCTAGGTTTATTAGATTGCTGTCGTCATCTGAATGCAGCAGTGATTTTAAAAGCCATGCAGAAACACACACACACACACACACACACACATCTAGCATGGATGGTTTTTATCTAATCAGGCGCCTGGTTCTGGACCAAATTAGTTTATCTTTTTCTGCACAACAAACAGATCAGAGTATAGAAAAAGCATGGATTTCACACAGTTTGATGGATGTGGTGACAACAAGTGTACCTTTTGTTCAGACTCCTCCCTCACAATATTTCCTATAATAATATTTCCTATTATTTACTAAAATCACTAAAAGAGAGGTTATTAGTCTCTTTTTAGAGTATGTAATGAAGTTTATTTGCTGTTGTGCTGCTGTGTTTTGCACTGTTATTGTACTATTATTTGACTAAAATCGTGGTTGCAGTTTGACATTTAATAAAAGGAATTGTTATTTATTCCTAGATTTATTTATTTAAGTTATTTTTCCGACTGACTGTCAAACTAGATAATAAAAGAAAGTTCTATGGCGTTCATTCGCTGTATGTTTTACAAAGGGTTTAACCTGAGCCAGGCCATACAACAATGATAGCAAACACATCACATCCACACAGGATTAGTAGTATGCAGCTGTATATGAAATAATAATTTGATATAAATTAGTTTTTTTGCAAGTTCAGGTATCAGAATTGGTATGGGGAGGGAATGAAATGTTATCAGATCCTCTCTGCTTATGAATACTTCCATCTTTGCGTTCATTCGTGCCCTCGCTGAGCTATACCAGCTGTTTTGTCCAAGCGTCAGATCTGTTGTGTCCCTTCCTGAACTATATGAGCCGAGGAAGTGAGTACAGACGACACACTGCTATGCTGTGCCACGCTAAACATGGTTTGACACAAGTTTTACATTGTGTGTGTGTGTGTGAGAAAGAGAGAGAGAGACAGCAGGTGTTCATGCAGACAGTTTGTTTGTTTGCTTGTTTGTTTGTTTCCCTGGTGGACGGTGTTGTTGCCATGGTGGCAGAATACTTAACATCGGTCAGTTCACACTTACACACATGCATAGCTGTCGGCTTACTTAGATTTCAGTGGTTTTCTCACATCATCAAGTTGCTCAACACACTTTCAGCCAGTTCAAATTACAGATTTGAACCTGTTCTTTTCTTTGACAAATGACCTGCAGCAGCTCTGTGCGAATGGATCACTATTCACATCACACTGACAATATCCATAAAAACACAACACACTTCAATAGAGAATGCAGAGATGTTGAAGTCCACAACCTTTGCATATTGGATAATGTATGTTACATCCTACCACGGAGCACAGGCTGCACCAGGATAACCTCTCTTGTGAAGGTGATAAAGTCATCAACATGACCTGGAGTTAATACTGAGTGTACTATAAACATGTTCCTCTGTCTGTCTGCGTGTGTCAGTAACACCAACGCTTATCTCTCGTATGTCAAAACAGGGAAGATCCAGTTCCCAGAATTAGGCTGGGAGGCGTCCAA